GGGGGGGGTGAGGGGAAGGGGAAATTTATAGGTAGCAATGTAGAATTAGGGATGAATTAAAATTTGACAGTGGGAACCACATTTCTCAAAGCAGCAGTTTTAGTTAATTGAATCATTATCTTTTTTTTGCTTCTGCTTGAGCTAAGGGATACAGGGGTTTACTATAAAATTACTCTGTAAATAAATGCCTTCAATTAGTGGTTATTTTGAGGAATGCTTACCTTCTGCAGAAAATTAATCTCCCTTTTGAGATAATTGCATTTTCAGGCCTCTGTGAGTTATGGGAAGTGATGACTATTTGAAGACGTCAGCTCTTTGTGAGGTATAAAATTACAAAGTAGAAGGAGAAATCATTAAGGATCTTAAAGGAATTCAAAGTGGACTCTTTTCTAATCTATTCTTACAAACCTTCACCCAGTACTTAGAAAACCTTGAATATAGACTTGAAAAGTCGGTAACAGGCTATTGTAAAGGTTGTCTGAAAGCCCTCCCTACACATCCCTGTCTCTGGGTTTACTACTTTGAAGGTTAACCTGAAATTCATTGCTTGAATTTACAGTAAGAAGTTTTGGAATAACTGCCACATTGCTTTAATTTACTTTAAAGCCCTGCCAGATATTTCTGACTCCTATTCTAACATTATTTGTCTGGAAAGATACCAAAAATGAGTAACACAGTAATAGGTTATGCAGTATTTGAGTCCAAACTGAGCCCACGTACTCACATTCTAATTTATAATTTTCAATGCGGTGCTTTTCACTGGAGTCATATAAACCAATGACTAGTTCCCACCATGAACAAATGTCCACTGCAAATTAGCAGTAAGAAAAAGGAAAAAACGCATTTTGCAATGTGCTCTTCATTCTACAAATGGATTTTTCGATATGCAGCACCAAATGTTCTGTGGTATGCCTTACACAAGTCTTAGGAATGGCAAGTTGTAACAGCATGCCTCTAGCCTTCCCTAGAAACAGCAAGAACAGTTTACACTAAGGTTTATAGATAAAAAGTTCAGCGTTTTTTTGTAATTTAAAAAGCTGTTATAGTGGGTAATGACCTCCCAAGCATATAAAGAAAATGGAATAGATTTATTTAATCAAATAAAATTAGTGATTGAGTTTAGCTATTCAACTTAGTGCCAGTGAAGGATGGAATTTAATTATGTCACTCTAATTGCACGAATATCACTGACCACGGGTACAGTAAATAGGGTGGGCTTGGCGAGCTAATAGGAAGCCTGCTTTCTCTCTCATAATTTGAAACCCTTGTAACTAAAGATGAAGGGAAGGGAGGAACAGTCTATTAGCATCTTAATCCTTCACCTGTATGCCAATTGACTTTTTAACCATACATTTCCCAGTACTGAGACTGGAATGGCTTTAAAGGTCTACACAGAAAAGCTTTTTGTTCCTTGGAAAGAGTACAACCTAACTTTAATAATAAAATACTATTTTTAACACAGATCTTTGGCCAGCTGATCTGATTGCCACCCATCTTCTTGAAGAGAATACTCTCCTCGGCTGCTAGCAATCATTTCCATAATGTTTGCAAGAGTGAGACATGTCATAGTTTACTTCTGCAAAAGATATGCTTGAGCACTGGACTAGGTCTCAGAAATCTGGATTTTGGTAGGTCACCTAGATGGGTAACTTGTGAGGTTACCACGCTATTCCTCAGTTTCTTCATCTGTAAAACAGGGATAACGATATTCACTAGCTTTTAAAAAACATTTTAAGATACGCATGGTTAATTATTAAGCAGTGTGGATTCTCCCCTGGGAGTAACGCACATCTGCTAATACACTGACTTATCCACTTTCGTATTAGCATTTTGTTTAAACATTTCCTATTCTTACTGCAACATAGTGAAACACTCATTCTGTCAAACAGCAATTGTAAAGAAGCTTTTATCCAGCACAAGTGTAGTTAGAATAGTAGAGAAGTGATGAGACTGTCATCAGGTTTGAGCTCGAGGGACTATCTGGTATTTTAAGTTCAAGTAACTGAAGTAGCAAAAATAGTTTCCAATTCAAGTCTGCCCTCCACTGGCTTTAATCAAACACTACTAATAAATTCTGGATCAATAGTGTCTTTTTGTAATGAAGTGGAGGAACTAAATTAATAGAAGCTGATACAGTTTATTAATTGAGACCTTTAGTCAGCAATTATTTTTACATTTTTTTTAATAGTAGTTAAATAATTTGTAAGTTTATTTGTAAAGTCCCACCTAGGCTCCCTGGCGGATTCTTGTTCTTCAGGTTTTCAAAAGCCCACCAGCGTATCGTTCGTATCAGAGTTGCTGGAACCACTATGCAACAAGGGAAGTAACATTCTGCCCATGGTTTTAAAGACATTTAAATAGAAAAACTATACAAAAATATTTTGCTATGATACAACTCACAATTCTAACACATAGTGCTGTATGTACTAGTCAAGTACTAATGTCCTAAAAGACACCAGTGTCAGTCTAGTCTAGTACTCTGTCACTAGAAGCAGTCTTTCCTCCTAACATGTGAAAGAAGAACAACTTTTATGACTGTGTTTATTTGAGAGAGAACTTTTCATCACAAACCTCATGTGCAATTAATCATCTCTGAACTAAGGAGGACTCATTTTCCTTTCTATATTTAAAGTAGGAAGGTAATTGGGGGGGTGGAGGGAACTATCTCAGTTATACTTACTCACATAGATTCCCATAGATTCCTCTAGTATGATTTCAACCACAAGGTGACAGTTGTGTCTGGAATACGAAATCTGTACCATTATGCATCAGAGGATATGATCAAGCTGAAAAGCTTCTGGTTCACTTATCTTGTCATCTTCATGCTTCATTACACTTAACAGCATCTAATCTCTTGTGACTGCTACCTAAACCTAAAATAAAGGAGTAAAACGTGTTTTCTTCAGATGTGTACTGAATATACACTTGAAAAATGAAGGAAAAAATAAAAAGTATTACAGAAATGTCATTTTACTTGGGCCTTTCAAATGCTTGAAAATCAGGGTCAGACTCATAGCTTGTGCCAAGTATGCCTAACAGACTTCATAAAGCAGAATGTAAGGAACTTTCAGAAGTCCCTTGAATGTCTTCTGCATCTGCTAAAATTCTTGCTGGAATGGCTATAATTCAAAATAAAACCTGTAGTTTTTAGCATAGTCCATATAGCATTTTACAGGAAGCAGTGAAAGGCACACAACTAATCTGTCCTTACTTTTGTTAATATTGGTTCAGCTTCAGGTTACGAAATACAGTTCTTTCTGGAATGTCACCTTCAGTAGGAAGCTCAGGCAACGTATTCTGATGGAGCCTGGTAAGAGGGCATGTGAACCACTCCGCACCTTGTCGGTCACGGTTAGGCCATGCTGAATTAGGAATATGATTAAAAGGTTTGTCCTTAAGTTTCTGAAGTGAATTCATCCAAAGTGAACAATAAAGGTAAATTGATACCCATAGTCAGTTTATCTAACTAATTTTTTCAACATTTAGATACACTGAGAGATATTGAGTTTATATGTATACTTGACACATTCACTTTGTTGACTGGGTAATCTTATTCAAGATCTGAAAATATATTACAAGATCTGCAATTTGCATTATGAGTTGTTAAATGCTATGATAATGACAACACTAAAACCTAGACTATGTGACGTAAGAATTAAAGTTATGCTTTAAAGTCTATTTAAATTATACTAAATTCACATTTAACTTAATTTAAACTTAAAAAAAATAATCTTAATTTTAACAAACATCCTTCCTGTTTTGGAGGTGCTAAAGGAAATGGACACTTAGGGATATCACAGTAACTGAAACTATACTTTTTTTTTTTCAAACAGCAACTCAAGATAAAAACCAGAAGAAACTCGCATTCTAGCAGAAAACCCACAGACGTGTTCCACATCTACCTGGCACATTTCAACTTGGAGGTCGGTCTTTTTGCCTTACTACTTGTTTTCTCTTTGCTTCTAACCAGGACATAATTAGTAGCTTGTTATTGTTGTGTACATTTATCTTGTAAAATCTGAAAGAGTACATCCAAAATTACTATTGTAAATCAGTGAAGCGAATGCTGTGCATCAATGTTACAATTTTCAAATACTACACTGTCAGAAAAAGTTGTTTCAGCAGCATGTTTATTTTTTGTAGATGGATGCTAAGAAAAACTATTACAACAAATGCTCACTGAAGAGAGGAAACAGAATATGGCTTTTAATTACAATTCTTATTTTTCAGATCCTCCAATTCTATGTTCCGTATCAAAGAAAAATATCTCATTTTCATGTGCAAAGCTGTCAACTGATGGCAAAGACATTCTCAGTTTCATGGTTGCCTCACCTTAATACAACGTACGAAGGTCAGAATTGGTATAAAACCAAGTATACTGAGAACAAAGACTGTTTTGGAAATCAGAATACGTTCACAGGTTTCCTCATCTTGTTTCAGTTGTAGCAAAAATTTGCCTAAACCAAGCATCTTTTAAGTCCTTTAAAATCTTTATAGATGTGTGCTGTTACAACAACATACTCTTCAGCAACAAAAATCTAGTCAAGATCTGCTGACAAGTAAAAGGTTTACACTCAAATATCTTTAGAGGAAAATCCTCCTAGAGTTACTGAAACCTTCACTACTCAGAAACTAAAAAAAAAAAGCTTAATTTAAAACCAAAGAATGAGTAAATATGGGTATCAGTTTTGGCCTCAGAAAATCCTTTAATCCATCAGATTTTTGCGTATCACTGAAAGTTGCAAGGAATCAGATTATGTTTTCATCCTCGGCCAAGTACTGCAATCATAAAAATATGCATTTAAGAACTGTTGTGTCTTTAGAGGAACTACCTATGGTAAAAGGTGGCAGTATCTTTAGAAGTAACACTTCATTTGTATTATTAAATGAAGATGGGGAGAATGGGAAAGTCAAGTTTCAAACAAGAGGAAAACTGTGCAGCAGGTAATACTCAATTTTCAAGCACAACAGCAGTTCTTCTCAAAGATGTCACAAAGCATTTGATGAGGTTTTGTTGAACGTTGTCTCACCTCAGACTGCTGTTTCTCCCTCACTGGCCTCAGGAGCTGTAATGAAAAATAATGACATTATTACTGTGTTTGCACTCAACTCTATATTATCACCCAGTTTTGTTTTTAAATAAGTAAATTGTATAGTTATTGTATTGAATAGACAAAATTACTCCACTTGGCTTTTTGTTCCTACCACTCTGATCATTTTCCTCATTTTCTAGATAAGACATCTGGCAATAATATTTTTCTTGGAAACATCCCGTATCAGACAGTGACCAGAGTACACCCAATGAGTATCACGCAGAAATTCATATGAAAGAGATTCTAACGTGGACAGAAATGTTTTTATATGCATTACTGTTCTGTATTCCAAGTTTGTTTTGAAAATACACTAAATGCAAAACCTCAAACATATTGACCTCCAAGTTATCTAGGTCTTAATGGTCAAGAAAGAGACATTTTAGAATTCTGACGTTTCCCAAATGGCATAATTGGACAGCCTTAGGCATTTTTGACTGCAGTGCTTTCCATTTCTAGTTCTCTCTTTGTGAAATGCGTTCTCTACAAACTGACAAGGAATGTTTCCCAGACCAGTAGCAGAGTAGCTGGGATTTATTAGACTAAACGAATGGGAATACCAAAATGGAATGGAAGAAAAGGACCATCATTACCAAGGCACAATTAAAATAGAAAATTTAATCATAATAATAAAGTGAAATAGAATGTCTAGTCATATTACTGGGGTTTTTTACTGACATCATAAAGATTCAGCCTGTAATGGAAATCTGTTTAACACCTCTTGCTTGTTCTTGTGTTGTTTATACTGATTTACAGCGTGTCTTCAAGTATGAAATACCTACTGTACTATCTTTGAAATGTAAGTTCCTCCTAAACAGAGTCAAACTCAAACTTTGTTCCCGAGCAGATGAATTTAGTGCAGTTTCTTGGCGGTAAATTGAAGGAGAAATCTCAAAAGTGAGAGTGGTAAGTGCATAATGGGGGTCTGCAGGGATTTCCTATGTAGTTTACAGCGATTCTTCACAAGACTTTAGTATGTCACTTTGTCTCCTTCGTCAGCCTGCTGAGTTGCATGCAGTGTTGCATGGCTTTATTTTGTGGTGCGTTGGGATAAAGCTTTAGAGGTTTGGAATTCTTTGACCTGAAACATAGCCTTTGCACCAAACAACAAAGACAAGCTAAAGCCATCAGACCGAGCGGCATTATTTCCCTGAACCAGAGACTGATGCTCAAGTGATTCAGTCACGGCTATAAAAATCTCAATTCTCTCCCTCACTATAAAAACTGAAACATTTGACCAGTTTACAATGAATGTTAGTGGTATTTATTTGCTATGAAAACATAGAACTTGCAGATTTACTGCTGATCAAGTTCATAGAACAGTAGACGCTCACATTCTTGTTGTCCCAGTTAAAACCTCTACAATTTTGTTTCGGATTATGCTGTTGTTGCTGATTACAAGAACTACAAGGCAAAACAAATTCAAAGAGGTCTTTTTTGTACCAAAAAACTTTCAACACATACAGTATTACTAATTTTCTTTTCTCACTCCAGCAATTGAGGCATTTTTGTTTAATGGATACGCCATTCCAAGAGTCTTTGTCTTCATTATCAGCCATAAGAAAAAAAAACCAAACAGTATCCTTCATGGAAGTGTTACCACAACAAATTATAAACATGAACTAGTACCCATGGCATCCCATTTCTCTCTTCTTCAGGCAAAGCTGCCTCCATCAATTTCTTACAGTGTCCGTTTCTTTGGGTATTACTTCTCCCTTCAAAACAGCTCATTGTTTCATGCCCAATCATAGGCATCTTTTGGTTTAGGGGCCAATCTTCAGTATTTCAACTATTTGAATAGCGCTGTCCCACCAGCTTGACCTTGCAGGGAAGGTGACTGATGCTCTCTCTTTTACCCTTTGGCTGAGTTGTCACCTCACCAAAGGACTGCTGTGCTCTCAGACCGTCTAACACCCTAGGCGCAACAGAAGCCAAATAGAGACAGAGAAAGCTTTTGGAGTCTGGTTTTGTGTGTTGTTTGGGGTTTTGTGTATTTGGGTTTTTTTAGTTGGGGGGGATTTTGTTGGGTTTTGTTTTTTGTTTTTACTGCAAACGTGGTACTTTGGGCAATATGAGACTATGGATGTGTGTTCTGATGGAAGAAGTGCTGTTCTCCAGTCACTTTTCCCAGTTTACCGATATCCTTTCTCAGTCCGACATTTACACCATTAGCTATAGAGAATCAGTGTTGGTTTATTTGCAAACAAAACACATGCACTTGTGCTCTTCTAGGCCACAACACTGAAAGTCCTACTCATTAGTACTGGCTTGAAAAGTTTGACAACAGTGATATTCCAAAAAATTTGAAAGGTAATGTGAACATATTGTTACCTCAATTTGAAGTTAGAATTCCCAGCTCGAATAGAAGACTATCCATAAAATAATTTAACAATATTTAATATGGTACTTAGCTTCAGGAGCAGAAATACAACATTCCACTGATGTACAAGTACCAGGCCAGATATGACAAAGTAGGAATATGTGACCACATTGGTGAGTACAAACTCACCTTTAATACCAACCAGAAAAAAAGCAACAGACAAACAGCACTTCAGAGGCAGCTGTATCTTTTATGGATGAATAATCTGTATTACTAGCAGCCTAAGACTTCCACCGTAAAGACTTCATTAGTATGTTCCACAAATTCTGGATTTGTTACTGAAAGTGTTCTGTTAATCTGGAGGTACTATTTTGTTCAGCAACCAAGATGACGTTACTTCAATGAACTGGAAAAGGCCCTACCTGCAAGATCACACTGGGAACATTTTATTTTTTAAAGAAGATGCCTAGCTAATATTTTTCTACCTATCCCAGCAGCTTACATGCTGCAGAAATAGTGGGATAACCTGAAACTGATTGTTTGAAAACTTCACCTAGCAAAACTAATGCTTACAAAGTCAACTGACTCAATGTGCACTTCCATTATTATGTGACATTATTTGGAGCACATTTTGTTGCTGAGAATGTACAAATAAAACATATGATCATGTCATATGCCATTTGCCATGAAGGTGTATTCTTTTGGGGACGGTGTAGGCTCACAGCCTGAGCTTCACACTGATGTTCATCTGCTGATGCACTACAGCACTGGTGCCTAACCTTGCTTTAGGGATAAGCTATTCGGTTTATAAAGAAGCCACTCACAAATTCTAAGCCTCGGCTTTACTTGTTAGATATCATTAAATAGGTGCCAGTCACGTGACTAGAAATACTGATGCATCCCATCAACGTGTTTAATGCCTATGCAAGCACAGTGCATATGGACTGGTTTACACCAGGGAAGACTGTGTGTTCTCTAACATGACAGCACGTTTGTGCCTCATCACCAAAATGCTCTCTCATCCCCCACGCTTCTATTATTGGTAGACTGTGACAAAAGCAGAACCCCTCATGCGGCTTCCAGTTTACTACCTGCCCACACCTGGAAAGCAAGGACCAAGCTATAAGCTCATATTTTGATCATCTCAGAATGGCAGAGCAGGCATCTACACACTGGGAGAGGAAATGAGGTATCTGTGTAAGTGATATTTATAATAACCCCGGATTCTTTTTTGGCTCTAAAACCACTGACCTCGTGTTATTCTTAATGCGACAAAATGGCTACAGAACTCCAAGTAATTGCCTTAGGCAAACCAATACATAACATGCAGCGCTTTAGTGGTGTCTGGTCAGTAAATCACGATTACGAACAAAACTGAGTAGCTTTCTGCACTGTCACAAGGAGTGATTTTGAAGAACTTTTTTTTGGAGTTTCCACATGCAATTAAATTCCCTCCAAACTATGACGGGACTTTGATGTAGTTAGCAGACGCGATATAGCCTGCCAACATTAAATTACAGTGCAGCCACATCGGTAGCACTAGGAAACCGAAGACCTGGATCTGGCATTGCAGCAGAAGGCAGCAGACGTACCTGAGAGAGAAGGAAAATGTAGTATGGGCATGACATAACTGGCTGAGTCAATGGCTCAGACACGCAGCAAGACGCCCCATAAGCAGCGGTGTCAAAGAGACAACAGCATGGTGCTTAGGGCCCCACAAGGGGCTCTGGCAGACACCACTGCTTTATTAGTTAGAAACGAAAGTGCCTCAGTACTTACCCGGGCTCTGAGTTTGTAAGGACAACGAGCCCTCAGCGCTGCCTTGGTGGTTTTTTAGATATTAGGTCCAAAACCAGATGGCCTCTCCCCATATTTCCAGTCAAGCTTTCACTCCCAGAACCCCGCGTTGCCACAGGCTGAACACACCGCGCAGTCTGGCGCCTCCAATTTCGCCCAGAAACGTTGTTCTTATCGCTTCCACCGCCACCTTTCACTTACCAAAAGGCACTTCCGAGCCTCCAGAGGCGCCGTGCCGCGCCTGCGCATACCTCGAGAGCTCCGGGAAACAAACAAACAAACAAACAAACCCAACCAACCCAAACACACACACAGGAGGTGCAGGCAGATGAAGGCCCACAGACCAAAGGCCACGTCCGAGCCTCCAGAGGCGCCGTGCCGCGCCTGCGCATACCTCGAGAGCTCCGGGAAACAAACAAACAAACAAACAAACCCAACCAACCCAAACACACACACAGGACGCGCAGGCAGATGAAGGCCCACAGCCCTCGCAACCCCCCCACCCTCAGCACAAACGCCCCGGTTCTGGCGGGCGGGCTGCCCCGGGCCCGCACGAACCCTTCC